AAAAGGAAAAGGAAACCTTTAGCCCAAATCTGCTTGTCTGGGGGGCTGGAGGGTCCATCCACATCCCAGTAAATCCTTCTTGCTGGGATTTGCTCACCCAGAGAGCTGCTGTCCCACCCCAGGACAGCGCTTGGGAGTTTCCTCTCCCCACCCACTCTTCTCCCAAAGCCAGAGTGGTTTTTTTTCTATAAAAATGCTTCCCTTTCCTTTAGCGCTTTCAAGCTCATGTGCAGAAATTGAGAGTGGAGGGCTGTGAAGGGATTTGGGGACTGTACCACCTGTGCAGTTCTGGATCCCACAATTTAAAAATGATTTAAGGAACACCAAGGTGTGCCGAGGAGGGCAGGGCTGGAAGGAATATCCCGTGAGGAGCAGCCGAGGATTTTGGAATTATCCAGGTGGGAGACAAGGTGAGTGAGGAGCTTCCCGTGGAATATTTCCGGCTGAAATTTTCCATTCTAAGCTGTTAGAAAAGGAGGGAATGGGACGATTCCCGAGTTTCCTCCACTAGAGGCCCCTGCCGATCCAGGGATGAGGGAGGGATGGGATCCGAGCCTGCGGGGCTGGGATGTGGCAGCAGGGAAGCGACAGCAGCAGCTCCAGCAGAGGAAAAGCAAAACGACACACAGTGGAGAAAACGCCTGGCCAAATCTCATCCCGACAGCGAGGGCAGCGCTGGGATGGTTTGGAATTGGGGGTAGCACGGGTAGGTCACCCCTGCGTGTTCCACAATTCCCATTCCCAGGCACTGGCTGGTTCTCAGCTCACTGGGATATTCCAGAGCTTTTCCCTCGCTCCTTTCCCAGCCTCACGGAGCGGCTCTCCCGACTTTTAGAGCAGCTGCACCATTTTTACCCCTCGGGTTTAACCCTTGCCTGTTCTCTCATCCCTGGCAGTGCCCCAGGCCAGGCTGGACGGGGTTTGGAGCAGCCTGGGACAGTGGAAAGTGTCCCTGCCATGGCAGGGGGTGGGAACGGATGAGCTTCAAAATCCTTCCCAACCCAAACCTTCCCGGGATTCACTGATTCTATTTTCACCTCCGCTCTTGGAAGGTTTTAAAAAGATGAATTTCAAACTGCCCAAACTGTCTTTTAAACAGAAACAGCAGGGGAGGAAAGAGGATGTGCAAGCCAAAAGTGGAGAGAGAAGGCGCTCAGGAAAGAAGTAATTCAGGGAAGAAGTAATTCAGGAAATAAGTAATTCGGGAAAGAAGTAATTCGGGAAAGAAGTAATTCGGGAAATAAATAATTCGGGAAATAAATAATTCGGGAAATAAATAATTCGGGAAAGAAGGCATTCAGGGAAGTCTTTTGGAGAGTTTGGACACATTGGATCCAGAGCCAATCCCTCCGTACAGCACAGCCGGGCAGGGAATTCTCCAAAACATTTGCAGGGATTGCAGGCACCGCTGCTTGGCTTTGGGGAGCTCGTCTCGGAGACAAGAGGGGAGAGATCGAGGGGCTGAGAGGGGAGGGAGAGGGAGCAGGATCCAGGGACAAGGAGAAGAGCAGGACACCGGGAAAAGGAGGCAGGACAGGATCCAGGGAAAAGAGTCGGGACAGGATCCTGGGAAAAGGAGCTGGAGCAGCATCCCGGGACAGAATCCTGGAAAAGGAGTCGGGGCAAGATCCCGGGACAAGGAGCCAGGACAGGACACCGGGACCAGCATCCCGGGAGAGGATCTAGGGAAAAGGAACCGGGACAGGACACCGGGACCAGGATCCCGGGAAAAGGAACCGGGACAGGACACCGGGACCAGCATCCCGGGACAAGGATCCTGAGGCAGGATCCCAGGACAAAGATCCGGGACAAGGAACCAGGACAGGACACCAAGACCAACATCCCGGGACAAGGATCCCGGGACAGGGATCCCAGGACAGCATCCCGGGACAAGGATCCCGGGACAGGGATCCAGGGACAGGGATCCCAGGACAGCATCCCGGGACAAGGATCCCGGGACAAGGATCCCGGGACAAGGAGCCGCTTCCTCCTCTTACCTGAGCCCCGTCCCGGCTGAGCTGCACCAGCACGGCCGAAGCCTCGTGGATCTCGCTGCCATCGAACACCCCGCAGCCTGCCAGCACCACTGCCACCCTCTTTGGCATCGCTGCCACTGTCCCCCGAGCGCAGCGATTCCCCGGAGAGCCCCGCGCCGCTCTGAGCCCCGCGGGCCGTCCGCAGCCCTTTATAGCATCACCCTCGCCAGCAGCAGGTGGGGCCGGCAGGGATGGGCTGGGCTTTTTTTTTTTTTTTTTTTTTTTTTTTTACTGGCAAGGAGGTTTTATTTCCAGTTCCACAGGCAGGGCATGTAAATATTATTTGTTTCCTCAACCGGCTGCTCCCTTCCAGATCTTCCTCCCAGCACGTTGTCTGCAGAGCTGACGTGCCCGGCTCAACAGAGCAGCTGTGTTTTCCCTCCTCTGCTGTTGATTTTCCATCCTAGCTCAGACTGAAGCACCAAAACCTTTGCAGAGGAGGTGGTACCAAAGGGAGCCAGGATTTCGGGCGGTGCATTCCCCTCTGTGCCCCATTTTTTGGACCCTGCACTGCTTAGGCTGCTGCCGATTTTACCTCCAACATTCCTGAATGTTTCTTCCCTCAGATCCCATCTCTCAGATGTGGATATTTCACACTTTGCTGCAGTTCTTTGCTGGCTTTTGCACCCTGAGTTTAAAAGTTAATGAAGTCACAGAGGTGGAAGGGACTCCCACAACCCCTGTGCCCACCCCAAAAATCCCACCCCGTGCCTGACAGCGTTGTCCAAACACTTCTTGATGTCCGCAGTAATGGGATTCTTCACCAACAGCACCACCTCTCCATGTATTTAATTCCACGGAAGTGGCACTGGGGGGTTGGTGGAGCTCTGGAGGAGCCCCTGGCAGCCAAATTCAATGTCTGCAGCTCATTCCTCCCTCCCTGGCTCTGCTCACAGGGAGATGATCCTGCCCCTCTCCATTCCAGCCCGGCCCTGCTGAAATAACCGTGCCCTGTGGGGGCTGAGGGAACAAAACCCTGGCAGAGCACGGCCGCGGGCTGGTTTTCAGGGCTTATTTATAAAACTTGCTCCTCGGGGCTCCGTCATTTTCGGGAGAGACGTGAAGCACATCCTGTGGGTAATGAACTCGTGGCTTGGCAGGGTGCTCAGTCAGGGCAGGCTCGCTGCTGCTGCTGCTGCTGCTGCTTGGGACTTCATTTATGGCATGTTTCTCCCAAAATTAGGGATTTCAGGCACCCAGCTGCTACCTGAACGAGCAGGAACAGGAAATGTGTGGCAGAGACCTTGCAGTCCCGCTAATCCACCCCAGTTGCTTTTATTGCCCAGAATTCAACTGAGATATACATTAAAAAAAATCCTCAAAGCATTTCCCCTGCAGTTTGTTTTGCTATCCAAGGAATCCCAGCTATGGTTTAGGGGTATTTTGTTTCCCCTTGCATCAAAGAGCAGCCGAGTGATGTTGCAACCTGAACAGGTAATTTCTCCTTCCTGCAGCTGCTTCAGGAGCTCCCCTTAGCCATGGAACAAAATAGCCAGAGGCTGAGGATTTCCACACCCTGCCTGCTGCAAACCACAGCACTAACCCCTGCCTGCTGTAAACTGGCTGGGCTGGTTCCCCTAACTGGGATAATTGGTGCAACTGGACCAGCCAGGCTTGTTTCCTCCCCTTGGAAAAACATGTCAGCCCTAAAGATGTGTGTGCAGCGAGGAGGTGAGCGATAAATGACATTTCTCAGCTGGGTTATTCCGGCCCGGGTGCCCTTGGCTGCACACATTTATTGTGGGCTTTGGTTTCAACAAGTTTTCATCTGCATTCAGGTTCCAGTGAGGAGGGGTGGGAAGGAATCCTCGTCCTGCAGGGTGGACAGAGTCAGAGATCCCAGGAAAGTTTGGGAGCAGGGATGGGGATGAGCTGGATCCATTGTCAGGGTGAACAGAGTCAGAGATTCCAGGAAAATTTGGGATGCAGCTGGGTCCATCGAGAGGGTGAACACAGAGATCCCAGGAAAGTTTGGGAGCAATGGTGGGGATGAGCTGGATCCATTGTCAGGGGGAACAGTCAGAGATTCCAGGGAAGTTTGGGAGCAGTGACAGGGATGAAGCTGGATCCATTGTCAGGGTGAACACAGAGATCCCAGGAAAGTTTGGGAGCAGGGATGGGGATGCAGCTGGATCCATCATCAGGATGAACACAGAGATCCCAGGGAATTTTGGGATGCAGCTGAGTCCCTCGTGCTCCAGCTGGCTCAGGGGCAAGAGGGGCAAGCTCCTCTGGGCTTGTTCTGGATGCTGCCACAGCTCCAACACCTCTTGGATGATCCCTCAGGCCGGTGCAGCTCCCAGCCCCATTCCCAGCAGCTTTCCTGTCCTCTGGGCTCCCGTGGAACAGGATTTATGGGTTTTGGGTCACAGGGCAGGCTCTGCTGAGGGGAACATCGGAGCTGGAGCTGCAGGAGCTCTGCAGAGCCATCCCTGGCAGGATCAGTGCAGGGCTCTGCACGCTGTCCTGCACCTCTGCTCTTGTGGGATTTGCTTTAACTGGAGCTGATCCCTCCGGGGAGCAATCCCTGCCCTGCTCCATCCCCACAAACAGCACAGCAGAGGAGCAAAGCTCTGGCAGCTCTCCCGGAATGGTTCTCGGACAATTCCCACCCCACCCATGGCTCAGCACAATCCCCACTGCTCCCTGCAGCCTCCCCTCCATCCATAACCACCTTTATTCCCTGAGCGGGCAGGAAGGTGCCCACAGGTCCTTCCTGTCCCCTTTGGGACACAATCCTGGCAGTTCTGGGCTCCCACTGCCGACCTGGAAAGCCAGCAAGGCTCCTCGGGGCTGGAGGAGCTGGATGTGGAGTGACAGACGGACAGGAGTGACCTTTAAGGGGATGGCACTGAGTGTGCCCTGGGTTTGCCCAGCTCAGGGGGCCGTGCCAGGCATTCAGAGCTGTGGCAGGGACAAACAGCAGGCCCCTGGTCAGGGTGAGGAGAAACAAGTGGTCCCCAAGGAGCTGCCGGGCTTGCACAGGGCTTGTTTGCTCCATCGAGGTGGATGCTTGCAAAAACCTTCGTTTTAACCACTCTAATTTCCTCACTGGCAGGAGCGAAAAAAAAAAAAAAAAAAAAAAGGCAGCAACGGCAATAAACCCTCAGCCTTATTTTCCAAGTGTCTTTTTGAACAAGGGTTAATCAACAGTAAAATTAAGAGGCCCCTGGAGGGAGCTACCAGCAACCCAGGCTGACTCACAGCCCCAAATTTACTGCAGCCAGAACTTCATTTGCATTTCCTCCCGCATGCAGAGAGGAGCAGGAACAGAAGAGGTTTGTAGGGAAAAGGGGTGGAGAGCAGGGAGGAAGGCGATGGTTTGGTTATAAAGAGCATGGGAGGAAGGAGAGGCAGCAGTGCAGCGCTCGGCGCAGGGATGGGCGGCAGCGCGGCTGGGTCGCTGCATTCCTGCATCGCGCTCCTGGGCATCGCCGCAGGTAGGCACCGCTCCTGGCATCCCGGCATCCCGGCATCCCGCCATCCTGGCACGGGACAGGGCTTGGGAAGAGCTTCCCCCTTTGCCGAGGGGGGCTAAAGGCGCTGTTTATCCGCGGGCTGCTCTGCCCTGGGCAAAGCTTTTCAACCCACACATCCCAGCGCCCGCTTCGGCCGCCAGCAAAATATTTGTGTTGGCTTCCAAGGGCTGGCCTGCAGTTTGGTGCTCCTTCCACGCTGGGTGGGAAGCGAGTCCAAACTTTTTTTTTTTTTGTAGTCACCGTAGTAAATCATCTCGCTTTGGATGCGGTTTCCTTTTCCAGCCCTGCAGCTCTGTTTTCTGTGCTCTCTCCTCTTCACTTGCTCCTTCTCTGTGTTTCGTCTTCCCGGATTTTTTTTGGGCTGGTTTTCCATCAGGGCAAAGCTGGAGGGATCAGCTGCAGGGTGTTTGTGTCTGTCTGCCTTTTGCATAACTGGAATGGTGGATTTTTACCTTTAGCTGGCAATTTTCAGACTCTTCCATACATTCCCAGGATGGTTTGGGTTGGAAGGGACCTTAAATCCCATCCACTTCCATCCCTGCCGTGGGCAGGGACACCTCCCACTGTCTCAGGTTGCTCCAAGCCCTGTTCAACCTGGCCTTGGTGGGATGGGGCATCCCCAGCCTCTCTGGGCAGCCTCAAATGATTCATTTCGAGCTTTTCCAAACCGGGCACCTCAAACGAAGCGAGACTTTGGGCACAAACCGAGCCACACTCAGCTCCTCAGGCTCTCTAAGCTGCACATCTCACTTTGTTGTTTCCCCTCTATTCCCTGCCCCGTTCCACCCTGATCCTCTCGAGTTTTTGGGATGGTTTTACGAGCTCTTTGTGCTTCCCTCCTCTGTGTCCCACAGGGTCTCTCCTGCTGGCTGTGCACTTCTACAGCTCCCCCCGAGCTGCCCCCCTGATCCCCAGCACGGCCCTGGGGGTGCTGCTGCTGCTCCTCTCGGCTCTCCTGGCCTATGCAGGTAAGATCTGGGGCTGCCCAGACCCCCAGACCTCCCTCCCGTGGCTCTGCACACCCAGGTGTGCTTTGCCAGCAGGACACAAACCCTGCTGCAGCACCCATCCCTTCTCCCAGGGCTGTGTGTGCTCTCCAGAGAAGCTCTGGCTGCTCCTGGATCCCTGGAATGTCCAAGGTCGGGCTGGACAGAGCTTGGAGCAGCCTGGGATGGTGGAAAATGTCCCAGCCCGTGGCAGGGGTGGGATGGGATGAGCTTTGAGGTCTCTCCCAGCCCAATTCCATGGCTCTGTGTCAGCACAGCAATTTTTTTCCTCTATAGGCAAGAAGAGAAATCAATGTTTGTTTTAAACGAGTTCTCTACCAGGATCTCGGAGTTTTAACCCACTGAGCACACCATTTCTCTGCCAGGCTCTCTGAATGCTTTCAGCACCCACGGGTTGACATGTCCATGGGTGAATGGCACCTACTCATCTCAGAGGAAACAATCCCTGCCTGGAACAAAAATTAACGCTGAATTATTTATTCTTTGCCACTCATAGCAATGAGAACACGAAATCACAGAATCGTTCAGGTTGGAAAAGACCTTAAAGATTGTCGAGTCAGCCATGGTCACCACTCAGCCATGTCCTCAGTGCCACATCCACGTGGCTTTTGGACACTTCCAGGGGTGGGAATTCCACCCCTGCCCTGGGCAGCTGTGCCAGGGCTGCACAACCCTTTCCATGAGACATTTTCCCTGATACTCAATCTGAACCTCCCCTGGTACAAATTGAAGCCATTTCCTCTCATCCTGTCGTTGTTCCCTGTGAGAAGAGCCCGAGCCCTCACTGCAATCTCATTCCAGGTAGTTGTAAAGAGTAATAAAATCCCCCTGAGCCTTTTTTTTCTCCAGGATAAATCCATCACCAGGCAGGAGCCGTGCTGATCCTTGCTTTTTGGGGTTATTTTTCCAGTGCTCTAGGCACCAACTTGTTGGGTTATTTTCTTTAATGAGCCAAGCAGTTAATAGTTGTTATAAAGTTATTTATTGTAGAAGCACGTTAGTTTTAAAAGCAAAAAAATCACAGATGCTGAAGTTTATGTTTAGATTTGATGTAGGGCTCCACATAGAAGCAGAAGCTGCTCCTGGTGAAGCTCCTGTCTTCTTTTTAGGTGCTGATGATGGTGGTGAGAGAGCAGGAACCAAAGCAAAGCAAAGCAAAAGCAATGGCAAAAAGCCAAAAAGCACCAGCTCTCCCCAGTGTATGTTTTTATATAGAAACTTTCCAAAAAGTTAAGACACAAACTCGGACCATTACTTCTTAACTTCTTAGAATTTGAGTTTTTTAACACACCAGGTTAAGTAAAAACTATGCATAGGGTCTACCTTGTTCTACCTGAAAAATATAAAAAATATTTTTACTATAACTTTATTATGTTTAAAACTATTTATATATATTTATATATTTTTATATATATAATATATTTATATATTATATATATTTTTATATATTTATATATTTATATATTTATATATATTTATTATATTTCAAACTATTATGTTCTTGGAGCCTCCACGGACACACCAGTATCCAAGACTACGTTTTTCAACTTTTACTAGAATTTGCACTTTTACTCAGGCATCAAAGACTTTTTACTCACTAAGAGCATTTAAAACTCCTTTTCCTTCCTTCCTTATTTGCTTGCTTACTTTAAAACTTAAACTTACACCTCTACTTTATGTGTGAGTGGCTTAACACATTTTAATCCATCTAAAGGTTTGAATTCGAACCTGATTTCTCTGATTTCTCTCTGAATGACTCTAAGCTCGCTTCCCACATGTGTGACACCTCATCCCTTTGTCCCCAGGGATCCGGAGGAACCTCGGGAATGGCTCCCTGCTGGTGCCCCTGTGCCTGACCCTGTCGTCCTTCTGGAGTGCCTATGGAGTGATTCTGATGCTGGCAGGGCAGGGGGTGCTGCCCACGCCAGGGGATGCCCGTGACGCCCTGGTGCCAGGCTTGGCCACCTTCACCCTGGCCCTGCTGCTGCTGGCCACGGTGGGCTTCCTCTGTGGAGAGCCCCTCCTGGCCCTGGTGGCTACTGCCCTGTCCCTGGCCAGTGGCCACGAGGTTGCCCTGCACTACAGCTCCTCGCTGGGCCCCTCGGCCGTGGCTTGTAGCCACCTCCTTGTCTGCTTGCTCGGGGGCTACTTTGCTCTGGGGAGGATCCTCGGCTTCCTGACCAAAGGGAGAGTCGCCCTCCCCGGCACGCAGAAGAAAGCCCAGGAGCGGGGCTGGGCCAGCACCGGCCACCCCTTTGTAGCCCCTGGGCTGCTCCTGAACGCGCTGTCGGCCAGTGTGTTCTGCTGCAGGCTCCTGGGGGTCACCCACAGCCTCTCCCTGGGCCACGTGCCCTGGCTGTGGGCGGCTGCCACCCACCAGCTTGGCACCTGTGTGCTGTGCTACCGAGCCATGGACGCGCTCATGGCCACGGCCTTCGGCTTCACCTCCATCCTCAAATTCGCCGGGGGCTACAGCCTGCTGCACCCCACCTGGCAGCCAGAGGAGCCAGCCCTCCCCACCCCGCTCCTGCTGGTCTTCTCCATTCTTTTCGCCGTCCTGGCTCTTTTTCTCTCCCTCCAGAGCCCCGTGGATGGGCTCTACTTGCTGCTTTTTGTCACCTACTGCATCGCCTTGGCTTGCAGCCCCAGGGGTTTTTTTGGGGGTGGCCCCCAAGGTGTGGCTGTGGCCATTTTCGTGGCCTCGGCCCTGGTGGCTCTGATTCACCTGTACAACGTGAGGGCAAAGGCCAAGATCCCGACAGGCAAGGGGGCAGTGAGGGCTCTCCTTGCTCGCAGCAGCCTCCTGAAGCTCCGGGAGGGGCCCGACCTCCACGCCCCTTACCTGGGCTACTCCAGGTATGCCGATGCAGAAATCCTCACCTACGCCTGCAGCGTCCTGGCTTCTTTTGCTCTGACAGCCACGGGAGACCCCCAGGCTCCCCTGGCCACCGTGGTCATCCCGTGGCTGGTGGTGGCTGGTGGCATCCTGAAGCTTCTCGGCGGCTCGGTGGCTTTTGCCCGGGGTAAAACCCTGGAGAGCAGCGCCTTCATCCTCTACGCTGTCATGTGGATCATCTGGGGGCTGGCACGGTTTGCTGGCCTCCATGGCACTTCCAGAAGCTTCCACGCAGCCGTGGGCATCGTTGCCTTCATGCTCTTCAACAGCTTCGTGGTTTTCTGCTCGCTCTTCCTCAGCACAGCCTGGTTCTTCTACTCCCTCACCTTCATGCTGGTGGCTGGCAGCTTCCTGCTGGATGCCATCCACGCCCTTCCTGCTGGATATGACATTGCTGCCAGCCTCATCTTCGGGCTGGTGAGCTTTTACTGCTTCCTGGCCGCCCTGGCCAGCAGCACCTTGGAGGGTTTTTGTTTGCCCATGGGGAAACCCGTGGTGCAGCTCAGCGGGGTCGGGGCAGGAGCCACCAAGTGCCCTCACCTGCCCGCCAGGAAAGCGTCCTCAGTCAAGAGAATTGCAGGTAAGGAGGGGAAAAAAAAAACAGAGGGTGGGATGTGGGGATGGAGGGTTTGTAGCAGAACACTGTTAAAAGGATATTATCCCAATCAGAGCATGGTTTGGGTGGGAAAGGACCTCAAAGCCCCTCTTGTTCCATGGGGACACCTTCACCCAGACCAGGTTGGTCCAAGCCCCGTCCAGCCTGGATGGTGTGGGAACCTGGGTGATGTGGTGATGTTTTGGTAAAGTTTTGTTTTTAAGCCATCAGAGTGGTGGAAAGAGTTTTGATCCCCGCTTTACCAGGAAAAAAAAATTATGTGGTCAGGCTGGAGAGGATCCAGAGAAAGGCCACAAAGATGATCCAAAGCCTGGGAAGCTCCCAAGTGAGGAAAGGCTGAGAGAGCTGAGCTTGTTCATCCTTGGGGAGCTGAGATTTAGGGGAGATCTTCTCACCATGGTTGGTATTTGAGGGAGGGCTGCAAAGGAGCCTTTTTAATGAGGAATCCTGGAAAGAACAAGGGATAATCTGTCCAGGTTATTCCTGGGGAGAAAATCAGAATTCCTGGGCCAAGTTAGAGGCGTCAGGAGCTGAGTGGGGCAATGAATTCCCTGCTGAGTCTCCTGCATCATTTCGCTGTGTCCTCATCCAGTCTGAGAATCCTCCAAGGAATCCTCCAGGCTCTGCACGGAGAAATCAGAGCCAGTGTTTGGTCCTGAACACCAGAAATCCCCTTGGAGGAGTGCTGGGAAAATGCACTGCCAGAAATGGGGAGAGGAGAGGAGAGGAGAGGAGAGGAGAGGAGAGGA